TTCCCATGCCGGACGATGTCGTCCTTGACGTAGCGCTCTAGAGCTTGCACACGCGTGGCCCCGCTCTCGAACAACGTATGTAGAATGATTTCCTGGCTAAATTGTCAGCACCAGACGGATAAACGCTGTAAGTCATAGACGCACTTCAGAAGTCATCGAATTGGAGTATTTGTCCAAGTAGAACCGTAACGTCCGTCCGACATTCAATAAGTACTCGGACGTGATGCTGGACAGAACATCCAGTGCCATCTGCGATGTGCCTGCGCTCGGGAGGATCGACAAGGCGTCAGCGTAGAAAAATGACTCGTACGAACCTTGAAATCCGACATGCTCTAAAACCTTCCGATTCACCCAATGTATGCACTGCTCCGCCGCCGGTTCCCCTACTTCGATGTCTACTCCAATTTCTTCCCTCTTCCGACCAGACCCAGGCAATCTCCACGGACTCTCGTCGACCGCGATGTCCCCCAGCTCCTCCTCAGCCTCTCTCCGTGCCGTCTCTTCTGCCTCACCTGTTTGGCCTTCCCCATCCTCTCCCGTTCCAGCCAAGTTCAGGGCCGCGAATTTCGCGTGCGTCTTCCTCACGCGGCGTAATGTGGTGATGTTCGCATTCATCATTGCCAGGAGCGAATGCGGTCGTGGGGTGGCCTTTGGAGGTTTCTTCTTGCGATGAGTGGGACGGCGGGATGTTGTGGGTTCGGTAGAGGGACCGGCGAAACCGGAGGAAGAAGGATACGATGGCAGAGGAGGCAGACTGTTCGCGAGTAGCGTGTCGGATTGCTGCGCGGCCCACCAAAGCTCGATAGGTTCGCTGGGTGCTTGCGAAGCAAGACGAACCCGCTTGCGAGGTCGGTGATCTGCGGCGCCGTTCCTGCCTCGCAGTCAGCACTGCGACCTTGGTTGGTGCAAAGAACTTACAGCTTTCTCTTGTCGCCAATCTCCGCGTCGGCCATTTCCACGTCTTCTCCAAGATCGCTCAACTCAGACAAACCGGCAAGCTCTCGGAGGCGATCCACAACGGAGGACGCCGTGGCCGCTAACCCGTTCTGCAAAGTCGACGAGGGCCCTGCAGAAACAAGACTATCCAAGGTGCGATCGAGATCGGCGAAAGCTGCCATGCCTTCCGGCGTGCGTACGATGGCCTGCGAGTCCGCAAACGGCAAGTCGCGTCGGGGTGGCGTCGGCGCGGGCGTCAGGCGTTTGGTACCGCTGCTGGCAGTGCTCGCGGCACGGTGCGGTAGCGCGGTCGGCAGGACGGGCGTAGAGGTCCGGCTATAGCTGTGGCCGTTCACGCCGTTCATTCGGGGCTGGAAGGGAGCGGCGTACGTGTGGGAAGGCGTGCGTCGGTGCGAACTCAAAGGTAGCGAGAGGTCGACTGGGATGGGAGGATCGGCACGTTCTTTCCGGTCGGTGATGTGCTTGAGAAGGCGCTCTGCCTTGGCTTTGAGGCGCGTTGCGCACATACGAAGCGGGTGGTTCTGCTCGGAGAGATGTAGTTCAAGTACAAAGATATCCGGTGTGAACGCACCTCGGTCGCGTTGTACGTGAAGCAGTTGGACCAAATGAGGTCCAAGTCGTCCTTGAACTCCTTCTTCGACTTGTACTGCTTCTGCTTGACCTTCTTGAGCATGGTCTGGAGATCCATGGGGTTCGAAATGACTGGACGGGGGTCTGAGAAGTGATCACAGTGCGCAAACGACGCGTTCTTACCGTCATGATAATCCGGGACGTCCGATTTGGATACCGGTTTGATGAACGCGTCCGCGTCGTGGTTGTCCTGAGCGCGTGGATGAGGTGAGACTGGCGCCGACGCGCCGGAGGTGGAACGCACCATGGTCACCGTGCGCAAGTCGTGCAGCAAGTCCTCCAGCGCATCATAGAAGGGGTCCGAAAGCTTCGCATCGTAGGGCTGTTTCTACCCGAGGTCCAAGCAGGTGAGTTGGGTGGCTTCCGAGACAATGGTACGTACTCACGCGTCCGTCCTTTACCGTCTGCAAGAGAAGCCTCAAGTCGGCCTCTGGGAGTGCGGGTTTGACCTGACTCGCGGCCAAGGCCCTCAGCAGGTTCTAAGGGGCAGATATCAGCGCAACGCGAGGGTGGATGGCACGATGGTGGACGTACATTCATGCTCCAGCTCGACTTGCTGCAATTGTGGGTGAGCGGAGACAAGGAGCATATTCAAGCTCCGATTGGATTGTGCCGCCTGCATTGTTCGGCGCAGGCTATCAGCAGGCTGCCTCAAGAACACGATTCCCAAAGCACAACTTCGTACAACTCTACTTCAATCATACATAAAGTCCCTCCAATTTTATTGAGAATTGTTCTTCATTTTCCCGGTGTATGTGGCGATACAAAGCAGGGTATGTTACGTAATTGAAATCCGCGTTCTGCGGTCGACGCGGCGGGCGGCGCGTCGCTAAACTTCTTGAAAGTGAACGGCCATCTTCCTCATCTCTCTATGCTCTCAAACATCTAGATCTCTGTTTTATTTCACTCTCACTAGGAGATCCATCTCGCTCTCACCGCGCTAGTTGTCGCCAGTCATCTCGAACCACCTCCCACCATGTCCGGTCTCAAGAACTCGCCGTTTGGCAAGCGTCTTCGCGCAACCCAGCAAGACACAGAGGACGAAGGACCGCGTCGTAACAGACCACGCACGACGCCTGTCTTCGGGGCTGTACCTCCACCGACTCCTTCCCTCGATTCGTCGCATCCCACTACCAGCGACAGTTCGAGTCCAGAGTCGCCCGGCGAACCTCGTCCAACCAAGGATTATGGCGACCGATTCGTGCCGTCCAGAGACAGCGGTGATATGCGCACGTCTTACAATCTGATGGAGGAGAGCGGGCCCTCGACCCCGGCGAAGAGTAAAGTGATCCCGACAGAATCCGACGCCGTCAAAGGTGTGTGATACCCCATCTTCAATCGCTGACCGTCTCTTACGCCCGCCACAGAGCAAGCCAACGCCTTGTTCACATCTATCTTGCACACCGAAGTCACGCCGCCGTCCCCGCATCGCCCCGCCTCTCCTGTACGCGCCCCCGCGTCCGCGTCCCACACCACAACCACACCGTCCACGCCAAGCCGACGCCGACTCTTTGCTTACCACTCGCCTTCGGGATCAAACCCGACGACTCCAACACGCCGACTCGATTCGACTGCCGATGAGGCGTACTCGATGAGCCCCGTCCGGGCAGAGAGTCGGCAGATCCTAGAGAGCCCAAGACGACAGCTGCGCAGCGTGTGCAAGACCCCGTACCGCGTGCTCGACGCGCCAGAACTTGCAGATGACTTCTATCTAAACCTGGTCGACTGGTCAAGTACAAATGTACTGGCCGTTGGACTTGGCGCGTCGGTTTATCTATGGATAGCGCGTACAGCGGCCGTGTCAAAGCTATGTGATCTGACGGCCACCGGTGATACCGTGTCGTCCGTTTCGTGGGTGCAAAAGGGCTCCACTCTCGCCGTGGGTACTCTTGCCGGACGACTGCACATCTACGACGCGAGCACCATGCAACTGCAGCGGACGTACCAACAGGCTCACAATCAACGGATTGGCGCACTCGGGTGGAACTCGCACGTGTTAAGCTCGGGTTCGCGGGATCGGACGATACACCATCGAGACGTACGCGAGCAGACAGTCAAGCCGTTCCGGAAGAGCGCAGGGCATCGACAAGAGGTCTGCGGATTGAGGTGGAACGGGGATGGTGGTGCGCAAGGTGGTCTGCTCGCGAGCGGTGGCAACGACAACAAGGTGTGTATCTGGGACTTGCGGTCGTCTAAGCGGCCAGGCCCACGGACAGGGATCAGCGGAGCTGATGAGGGCGGGGTTCCGAACGCGGACACACCGCTATGGAAGTTTCACGAGCATACTGCTGCGGTGAAGGCGCTCGCTTGGGATCCGCATGTAGCGGGAGTGTTGGCAACTGGAGGAGGGACACAGGACAAGCACATTCGCTTCTGGAATGTGACGTACGGGAACATGCTGAATGAGCTGGATACGGGCAGTCAGGTGTGTAGTCATAGATTCGAACCCTCACTTTTGTTGAGCGCCTGATAGGTGTGCAACCTGACGTGGTCACTGACATCTCATGAACTCGTGTCCACGCATGGGTTTTCCTCTACGACGGCGCAGAACCAAATCTGCATATGGAAGTACCCATCACTCGACATGGTCGCGTCATTAACGGGCCACACAAGCCGCGTGTTGTACCTCGCGATGAGCCCAGAGGGCGAAACCATCGTCACGGGTGCGGGAGACGAGACCCTGCGCTTCTGGAATGCATTCCCGAAACGCGAAGGGAACGAGGCGAAGCGCGAGAGTCGTCTCGACTATGGACGTCTCATCCGTTAATCGCCGTCTCATTTCCTCCATGACACCACCTATGACTTCGTGTTACGCGCCTACTGATTCTTCCCATGCGATATGTGCATCTATCCTACCCCATCATACACCATACTTTCCCCTCACCACCCTCCACCCACCACAACCGTCATGCACGCATACAGTACAGCATACATACTCAACATACACATCCTACATAGCATTTACCACTGTACTCTGCTAACCCTTTCCTCTCATTTGTGAATTGTTTCCTTTATACCTTTCCTGTCACATACTCGCTCTGTGTCTTTGTGCGCTAGCTGTTGCTCTTTTCTGTCTGGATGTTGTCTTGCTTTTTGCCTTTCATCGAACTGTAGGATCCGAATGTTGGGATTTGTTTTCATCGTGCGGTAGATTGAGCCTGATTTATTGATAACCTGGGTGGACGTCCTAGTGCTCAGCTAGCCTCTGCGCCGGAAACATCTGACATGAGCGCTAGCGCCATCCGTACACTGAATTAAAAGGGCCCCCCAAGTTTCAACCACCAGGAAAGCATGATGTCCGGTCAAACATCGTCAACCTGCGTTCACTGCAGGCTGCAGCCTTCGCTCGACAGGAATAATGAGTATATTTGGAATTACCAAGAAAAAAAAAAGCCTCCTGCTTATGTTGAAACTGGACATATCCGGAATTGAACCGGACACCTCTCGCAAGTGATCGTGCTAAGCGAGCGTGATAAACCAACTACACCATATGCCCATGACAAGCATAGGAGTCACATGTTTATAGACTGATTGTTCCTGTATTGCCTACTATACTAAATACCCAATGTACAAATTTGCAGTGTTCGTTCAAACAGAGACGTCACATCCACGGACACATAATTCTTGGTTGTTCCTCTCGCACCCCTTCCTCACTTCTTCCTCCCAGTCTGTCCCCAGCAGTACAACGCCGTACTCGCCGAGGCCTATAATGAATAGAGCGACAACTTGACCTAAGAAGCGCTTGTCAGGAAGAACCGTAGGCCGCCAGCCGCACGAACGAACCTATCCAGAGCCCCCGAAGGCCGTAATGTGAGTTGAAGGCTAGAGACAGGCCCAGAGGAAGTGCAAGGATATAGTATGCGATGAGATTGAAGAGCGCTCCGAGATGTTGTCGCCCTGTGAGACGCAGGGTCAGTTCTCTATTGAGGGAACAGGCGGGAAACCAACCTTGACCACGCAAAACACCACCGCAAGACCCTGCCAGGCCGTCTGCAATCTAGACACACAGATCTCAGTATGGAACGTCGGGTACAATAAAACGACGAAAACAGACTTGGAATGACGCAACAAGTGGCATGACCTGGCTGACGAGTTGGACAACGCGCTCGTCGTCGCTGAAAATATATCCGTACATCTGACGGAGGAAAGATAGTCATGAGACAGCAATTTAGCCTGAAACAAGGTGCAAGAGCTCACATCTTTTGCGCACATGAGGACAAGCATGACGCCAGAACCCGCAGCAACACTGAGAAGGGCGGATATGTGGCTAACGAACTTGGCGCCAGAAGCATCCCGGCGCCCGATGGCGTTCCCGACACGGGTGGACGCGGCGACGCCTGGTATACGAGCGAAGTCCGTCAGTATTGAGGTCCCGCAGATCTTCTTTAGGCACTCACCAATTCCGAATGGGATTGTGTTCAGGACTAGAAGGAGAAGCCGTACGTCAGACAAGAAAGCTTATGTCGATGGATATGACAAGCTCACTTTGATCGGTCGTCATAATTACCGATTGCGCGGCGAGTGAGGTTGGACCCAGGCGTGCGGCGGCTAATGCGACGATTTCGAACGCAGCCCTAGAGAAGGTCAGACGTCTATACGAGGGCAGTAGAAGATGCCGCACCATTCTGTCCCGACCATCAAAATCCCCGGCAGAGCGAGTTTCAGAAATGTAAGGCAGCTCCGCACATGTAATACGGCACGAAGCTGAATACCGCCCCAAGTCTGGTTGCGGGTGTGTGTAGGAGAATAGGCGGCGTAAATTGCCAAGAGTATAAATGAAAGCCAGAAAGAGATGGAGAGAGAAATGGGAGAGCCCATGAGGCCGAAATGAGTATGATGCACGAAGTAGACATTTAAGGCAAAGTTGATTGGTGAGATGATGAGAAGGACGTATGTCGCTGCATCCATGATGCCTGAAAACAATCAGATCGAGAGAATAATGGATGGTCGAGGTTACGTACCCTGACATTGAAGATATTTCTTCAGACTCTCAAAGGCGATATACCCGGGTGCAGCGAATAGGAGCCACCGCAGATATTGTTGGGTGTCGTGACTGAGAGGGCGCTCTTGCCCGAGCGCCAAGAGAATGGGCTCCATGTTGGCCCAGGCGATTCCCACCGGGACGAAGAGCACCCACAGCAGGAGTAAACACCGTTGGAAGTGAACGGAGAGGTCCGTCGACCGCTTTCCGCCCGTGAAGGCCTGGGAGCCTAGCGTGTCGAGAGCGGTCGATCCGCCCAAAGCCACGCACCAGCCTGTATAGTCGGAGAAAATGCGTGGGATCACTCTTGCCTTGAAACACAGCAAATGATCGAGTACTAGCCAGTGACGAATGCCAGCATGAGCGAAAATGCGGCGACGGAGAGCTCCTTCGCGCCTAGTCGACCGACAACGACGACGGAGACGGTTTGAATTGAGTTCTGAAGAATATAAGAAAATATAACTGCGAGGAGGGACAAGCGTCGGTGACTCTGAGTGCAGCTGTGAGGGGGCAAAGGGCAAACCTGGGACAGAGTCCTTGCAGAGCGCAAAGATTTCGCGGCAGCCGTGCGGGCGGCGACGACTTGCCGTTTCGAGCCAGTCTGTACATTGGCTCGACGACGACGACGGGGGAGGCGGTCGCTTTGTGAAGAGGGGTGTTGTCTCGTCTGCGTCGGGCATTGGAAAGGTGTTGAGTACGGACGCCTCTCCTTGCCTCGCCCTCGGTCCTTTATATAAAAGTCATCCTATCTGGCCGGACTGGTCCTGCTCCGCAACCTTGTTGGAGACCGAAAGGTCCAGGTATCGATCCATCTGCGTGCGCTTGCTCGTCCGGTTTCAGCAGACTTTTCGGGCTGACTTGATCAAGAAGCCGCTCGCATATGATGCTCTGTGGTCGGACGAGATGGGATCGGCCAGCGCTGTGCCTAGCCGGACGCATAACGGCATGGGTGTGGTACTGTTCTCTTCCGCCGCAACCGCTTCACAGCATTCCGCCGGATCGCTTCCTACAGTAGAATGGGCCCTATCAGGAGGACCATCTACCGTAATCGCAGCTCTCGCTACAGACGAGTAAGCGAGGATCAGCGTCGAGAGACTACTGCCAGTGAGAACGGCTTATCCGGAACGTTCGGGAACACACCTTGGACTCCAAGCCGCTCCGAAAGTGCCTTGGCAAATCCCCTCTACAGCCAGCACGCATCTGATGATGGCCACCATTCCCCTTAGGCCTAAACGGTTGCCATTTTATCCCCCCTTGAACGTTTGCAGTTAGGTTTCGTTCCCTGGACCTTTTCCCCGGACTCCTTCATACAAGCGCTGCTCATGTGTCAAGCACCCTATGGCCGCGCGAGCCCTCCTCCTCCTGCGACTCGTGATGTCGTACTCAGCGGCAGAAGACCATGATGTGTAGCCGCGAGAGGCGAAGCGCTGAATCCTGCGAGGGACTCTTATCGCGTGCCAGCCTCAAGGCAGCATGAGACTCCGATCTCTGAGATAGAGAAGATACCCATATCGTAAGCACTCTACTTCTCCGGACGGTTGGCCTTGAAGGTACCGGTCATGAGAGGTCATGAGATTGGCGAACTCGTCATGCTATCTCCCGAATTTATTCTTGCGATCTCCAAGTCTGGGGCAGTGTGACAAAAACAAACTCTGGACGGCCTTGAGCAAAGCCTAGAACACAGACGACGGAACTTACTGATGTTGACCCTTTGTTACATCGGTAGTTTGTAATGGCGATGGGGTAAGATCCGAAGGCGTGAGTGTGCAGAAGTGATATTCTTGCACGAGTTGCCGCAGCCGGTATCCGACTAAATCAGTGGCGAGACAGCAGCCCCGACGTAGCTGCCGAATTGATCGCGCACTTCTTGTATGGCTCGTCGATCCCCGAAAGCTAGATCGATCTTTGCAATCCATCTCGGTTAAGCGAAACGAAGTGGAGCTTGCAGATATGGGAAGAGCTCACCAGTGCAGAGTACGCATCCTTCCCACATATTACAGCCGGGGGCTTCGCCCCTGCCTCGTCAAGTACGTTTTCCGAAACGCAGAGCGCCAGCCGGGTGCCGCTAGTCCCCGGCTCAAAGAAAATCACCGCATGGTGGAGCCGGATGCGCTTGAGCGGCACCCACGGCGGTCCGCTGTGGAGGCTGACAACGCAGACGCATGAGCGAGGAGGCGCTGCAGGAACCACTGGCCAAGGCGAATACCACCTGCGCGATAACAAGAGCACCCAGAGCAACCCCCGCCGAGGCCCCGCAAGAGGTTGTTGCACGTTGATCGATGGCTTGCAGGGCAGGAAACGTAAGGTTGAGCACCAATGCGGGAGGCCCTGACGGACAGGACATACCTATGCTATTCCCGGCGTCGAGGAGAGAAGCCCTTGGGCCTGCGTCTGGGCGGATCAGCGGCAACAGATCGATGTGGCATGCATGGTGAAGCATTGCATTGGTGGATCGAAGCGCGCGGAAGAACGCCTCCCATTGACGAGGGGCTGCATGTGCCGTAACATGTTCCGTTACCGCTGCCTCACCCGTTATTCTCAGCCCCAGCGGGTGCAGTGATCCTTAAATTTATTTGATTATCGTCGGGCTCTTCGGCTTCACGAGGACGACGTTTCAGCGTTTCAGGAAGTTTGTATTGACCTTGTCGCTGACTTGAAAAAATGGAGTTGGCCGACCTCGCGAAGACTGGAGCGTCATGTCGGACTCCTGATCGCCATGTCCATGGGACAGCGTTTCACACCAAGGTATTTCTCTTTGTAATTGTACAAAGTGGGTGCCGAGCTGTGAATGAGCATGTGGTGTTTGTGGACAGGGCAGCCGCGCCGCGCCGTTCGAGTGCGGACTTGACCACGAGCTCGGGAAAGATAGCACGGCCTGCGTAGACATCAGTTAGGCTTGGTATGTCTTTCGTGAGACCCCCGTAATTATACGGCAGCCTAGGATAGCGGCCGCCGTGAAGCTTGAAAGACAGACGGTCAGGCAGGATCTCAGCACGGAGAAAACAGCATATGACATCACCTCGCATTTCCAGTGATGACATTCCTGAACGTGTGAGTTTCGACAAGGCGCGAGGCAGGCGCACGCGGTACGTTTGATATTCGACGAGTTACACGGATCCTTGACCCATGACCCAAACATTCGAGCGGCACCGCCCAATTTTTCTTGACGGAGCCTGCGAAATTGGTGGTGACATATCACCGACACGGCATGCACAAAGTCGCGATTGAAATTCGAAGAGTTTAACCAGGACTTTGTCTCCCTTAGTCGCCGGCCAAGAAAAGGTTTAGAAGGTCCGTTTGAAATTCCTACATAGGTCTGCGCAAGAGCGTCAAAAATATACTGTTCGATCGATGGTAGGTGCTGATATGTATGCAAGTCGTTTTGCTACAATGAGATGGTGTGAGAACGAATAACAACTGGATAGATAACACGACGACACAGAACCAAGACTTCTCGGCGGACTAGCGTCGCCGCATAGTTTCATCCACTCCCTCTCCTTCGCTATCGTCGCTGG